GGACAGCTACAGTTCTCCTGAATTCCTCCTTTATAACCTACCTAAACTGAAAGCTAACTAATAACGGTTTCCGAGTATCATACTTTCACTCAAAATTTTATAAATAATAAATCTATTCATCATTCAGATCTTTACATATGTTGGATATGTCAGCATAATATGTAGAGTAAATAGGTTAAGGCAAGACAAGTATTTATAACGATTGCTAAAACTTTTTTTGCTCACACATGAACACATGAACATACAGATAAACATTACAGAGACTCACAGAACACAATTTAACGATTAAAACGTTCTTGAACAGAATTTAAGCAGCTGTGTAACAATAACTCATTTAACGAATTTTTGAATGTAGTATCCTTTTCAGAACATTTTTATATGCTGGCAACGAGTTGTAAAGTTTCACACTTTCATACAAAGTTGAATTATACTTGATAGATCTTGATGGGTGGTTACTTCTGGTACTATATTTATGTGTATCCCAGTTTTTTAGATAAACATTAATGAAATTTTTGCATTTGTAAACGTACACCGATGGCAGAGTAAGTAATCTTATAAGTCTTGGATGATTGCCGACACCATTCCATAGGTCTTAAACCAGACATTAGGAGAATAGTTCTCTTTTGCATAAGAAATACTCGCATGGAATATACCAATGCAAAATAGATGCTCAATAAATGACTAATAGCCAGACACCCTTGATATGTGCTTAATTTCTACCAAATGTCATCGATGTTACTAGACCAGCTTCGATGTCAACATGTCCAAGAAATCTTGTTGTGTCACTGATGCTAACAGTTTTAGAATTGATAAGTATTTCTAAATCATCAATTTTGCTGCTAGATCCAGAGCATGAATACAGTTTTGCCAGAATTCGCTATCAGGGGTTTCCTTTTACACCAAGATGTGGACTCTCTTACTATTGTTACCTTCTTGGTCTAAAGTTTCTCCAGGGTTTTAGTGTCAAGACCTATGGTTCTACCCTCAGCGTTAAGTGTTGTGTTACTCGCAGTGATGTAAGATCACAAAAAGAATGAAAACCCAAGGGCCTAAAATTGACCCTTGAAGTCAACCATGTGGAATAGTTATTGAAATGTACAAGTTAGTCACTCATCAATTTTTCAGTGTCATGCTTTTATTCAACATTTTACTGGAGGATCATCTGCAGACATGCTAGAGGATTTTGCATGCTGATCGCAATTTTTAAGATAATTTTTAACCCACTGCCTCAGAAGGAGGGTAGAGATTTTCCGTGTGTATGGGTGTATTTGTGTATTGGTGTATTTGTGTATGTATCCAAAAAATCTTTTTCACGGGCTACAGGCCAAGCGACTTGATGCTTTATGCCGTATGAAGTATTGCTGAATTCATTTTACCAATGTGGGTGCTTTATCAAACTTTCATGAAGACAAAATTTCAGATTTTTATATCAAATTTTTATTTCACAGGCTACAGCTTAGACGGCATGATGTATTTTGACATGAGGTGTCGCTTGAACCAGCTCAGAAGTGCGAATGACACTGGCTATATTAATATTTTAGAAAATCAAAATGGCGGAATCTAATCGGAAATTTCAAGTTCAAAAATCCTGTATCTCGGGCTACAACTCAAACGAATTTATGTATTTTGGAATACGATGTGACTATATTTGTGTCATCAGCCTGACTAACACCGCTAATTCACAAAATTTGTAAGATCAAAATGGCGGATATTGTAGTTCAACCTTGAAATTTCTGCTTCACGGGGTGATAACCAAACGGACTGATGGATTTTGAGATTTGGGGTGCCCTTCATTCGTCTCGGTAACACAATTACGAATTCATTATTTTCCGATACTGCAGTCCGGCCTTTTATATGTACACTTTTTGCGGGATTTTATACGACATGTACCTCACGAAAAATGATGTCACTCATTTTCGTCTGCTTGTCTGTGTGCTAATCCTCGGTCCGACTATAACTAGGCAAGTACGGCTCGGATTTGGATGACATTTTCACACAAGGTCACTACTCTGCCAACGACAAAAAAGCCTTGCCGCTTTTAAAAATCAGTTAAGTGTCGAAAAAACCAGGGTAAATAACAAAAAATAATAAGAATTTCTCAAACTTTTTTTTAAGTTTTATCCTTTCCATAAACATTTTTGTAGGAGTTAATGACTCGGATTTCAGGGTTGTAAGTGGTTGGCGGGGATGTCTCATTTGCATTTATCCTTAAATGTAGAATGACACAGAAATGTTTTCGATCAGCATCTCCTTCTGCCATCTCAGTTCACCGCCTGGTGTACTGGTCTACCGCATCTGACGTTATAAAAAAGAGCACGAACTGTATCGGCGTGTGTGATTGACTTGGTCCATTTAGTTCCTCTTTTCGTCACTATCTTTTTTTTCAGAGGGCTTAACTTTTGCTGATCCTAATTATTAACGACCAGATTATGGTGATGCATAGGAAGTACAGAGTCGACCTACTATCTATATACATATATATAAAAATGAATCCCTATTTCGCGAGGTCACGTCATAACTTGAGAATGACTTTACCGATTTCGTTCATCTTTTTTTTTAAGTTTCCTAATGCTGTATAGAAGGTTCTTACGGAAAGAAAAATCAAGAAAATTGCGCAGAAAATTGGGAAATCATTGAAAACCTAATGATTATTTCAGCTACGCGCGTTTGACACTTTGCTTGAGCATGGAGCACGCACAGCAGAAGAAATATCTCAAGTACCAAAAGAGACAGACTCTCCTCTCTGCCATCTTTATTCCAACAGATATTGACAGTTAGGTATGTGGGAGAAAATTGCTTATTAAAACAGGGTGCTTTCGTTTTTGAACTTACATTTCTTTACCGTCCGTACTTTGTATTGGCCCCTTCAAAAGAGTGCAGTCTTGCCAAATTGTTATCTTTGTCAGTTAACGAATAAAAATGCTTAATTGACTTTCACTACCCTACCATTTTGAACTTGACAGCTCGCACGCCGCGAATTCATATTATTGTTTAACAGTGTTTATCGATTAAAACATATTGTTTTATTTAATTGGTAATGCACAGTCCGTTCGATTAGAGCATTTATCCAGTTTTTAGTTTGTTCAGTGAGTTTTTTTAGAAGTATTTGTTCAAAAATAATTAACAAGGGTGGAAGTTATTTCATCGCAATCACGCTTTATATTAAAATTGTGATTCTTCAAAATACCACCAATTAGACCTACCAACCTAGGTCGCAGAGCTTGCAATGCTGCAGGTCAATGATATATACGAAGAAGTCAAACTGACTAGCAACGAGAAGCGAGAAATGAAGGTGAACGGGATCGTAGAACTGAAATTCAACAACGTAGAAGTATCGCATTTAATCCCAATCGAGCTGCATTCAATTATGACGTGGCAATCAATTACAGTTCACAACAAATCGTTGCTATTGGATCAATGAACGTTGTGAGTCCACACTGCACTGTGCCACTACCAGAGCCATCACATTCATTGTTTTGGGCCACATTCTTCTTTTTTGACGCATATACAGCAATATAATAATTGCTTTCAAATGACGTCATTTGGCGCAACAAAATTCATTTGACATAATTTGATGCCTCCATTCAAGGTAACTTGCCAACGTATTTTGCTAGCCACATAGCGGCACAAACACTTCGCTATACAATTACCTACATTCCATATATTTACCCTTTTGCTATTCATTATTCATCTTGGTTCATAGCTAAGTTAGGACAACGTCTGTCGGGTCAGATAGTCTTTCATAGTTAAGAGTCTGTTCTCTCTATCTCACAATACTAAGGCGAGTATTCCACAGAGATCTGCTATGGCTTAAATGTTAGATATGCGGACTGCTGTCAAATTACTGTCTGACCGAAAAAGTGATGATACTACAAGTCAAGTCTCTTGTCAGATGCTTACATGGAAGTCGTTTTTCTGATAACTCCAAATGAAGTGATCGTAAAAAGTATAAAAATTGACAGGGCATATAAAAGCACCTGTTTCGTATGATGTGTTGAGACCAACTGTTGAAAAACCTTCAAATTTTCAAAACCTGCAAACAACTGCACAATTTCTTAACCTCCTCATACCGAAAAAAGCTGACAGTATTTCTAATGTTGCCAGTTGTAACTTTCTATACCTTTAAAAGAATTAAACACTTAACACTACTTATGACAAAAACAAACTTCTGTTCGCAATATAATGACCAGGACAGATGCCAGCTGATACAAATAACAACAAAAGGCTTTAGATAATATACTATAATACTACGTTTTAATATAAAATAGCAAGTCAAATTTGACTCCTACTTTGCGTTTTTTGCGCTAAATTGCAACCATTGTGAACAGTGTGAATTTTTGGGAGAAAAATGTAGAAATGCTTGCAACACAACAAATACACAGATATTAGTCTTTTATTTACTGGATAAATGAGACAAATAAATTAATAACACTATATTTTATTAAGTTACTTATGTAGTTAACCAGCATTATTTATTGAATTTAAGTTTCAATAAACTCCATGGAACAAGGCTCCATACAAGGCCAATATGATGAACTTAAAACTAAAGTTGTAATCATAACATTTGCTCATATTACTTAAGCTACATATAAGCTTTCATTAAGATAAAACGTTAAATACTTACAATAATATATTTTGTTTGAAAAATTGGCCTCACAAAGAGCACGGCCTTCGCTGGTCCATCATCCTTTAGTGTTCAAGGATTCAAAAGTAGTAGTAGTAGTAAGATAGTCTTCCAGAAGTGTTGCTTTGGGAAAACCCCTTCTCTCTACGGACTCCCGGACTAACTGTTACACCGTAAATTTTGTAGTTGCATTTCTGCGACAAAGTACTCCTTTTTCCATGGTCCAATATTTCATCGAGATTTCCCGACCGCCTCGCGTGGCGCGTGAAAGTGGAAGTCAAATATTTGCCTTGCAGGTGTTGGAGGTGCTGCTGGTAAGGAGAAGATAACAGGCGGCGAATTTATTCAGCACCTTGACTCGGGGGTACCCCCTTACCTCCCAACATCCACCATTTTCAACCTCCAAGCCCCCCTTTACTTGTATCTACCACCTCGACACACTTTGCGATACACTCTGATTTGCATAAGCAAGTATTATCAGGTTGAAGCAGAGCACTCGGCCTTCGCGATGAATTTACTCTTTTAAAAGGGGAGAAAAATTATTAGGAAATGTTCAGTAAAGAGGACCCTGCGTGGAATGCCTTTGAAATCCACCGGTCGGCTTCATTGAACTTTCGCTTGACATCAGAAACACAGTGATCTGTAAGCGAACCGTAATTGGTTTGGCTCATAGATCACTCGGCTCCTATCGAGGAAGTGGATGTTCGGTGTTACCAAACTGACAGAGGTTGCTTAGAAATTGCTACACTTATAATGAGCTGAGTGAATTACAGGCCTGTGCAAGGTCTTTGGCGATTACGCTACAATGTCCTGCGAAATAAGTAAGCAGGCAAAAATAATAATAGGAAATTTTTAAACTTTCATGCTTTTGAACTTTAAAGGTTTTCAAGACTAATTTATTTGTCACCCGTTGATACAAGCGGATGAAATTATAGTTCTTTTCACGATTTTTGGCGGTTAAGTTGCAATGTCATACAAAATAAGTAACGAGATTGACCCATTGTACCATGAAAATTGCTTAGATTTCCTAAGCTAAGTTACAAACTACTAAAGCGTATTCATAACCCTCCATCGCTCGCGCCTCATTTTATTACACCATCGCTCGCGTGCTAGATTTTATCTAACATACAGATGTTCAATAAAAAAGCTGTTTTTACTTAGATTAAATGTTTATATTGTCAAGTATAGTATTACTTATACTATTAAGCTATAAATTAGTGAAACATTATTGTTATAAACTACAACAAAAATACTAACGAAACACTGAAAATTCTTCATCTAAAATTTCCGAACTGAAGGTTTCTTCTTCTGATCTTTCATTCTGGAATCCTCTAGAGCTGAAGAAAACCCTAAAAAAATAAATGCAGGGTATATATTGAAAGCGTTTACATGAATGCTTTACAAAACACTTACGCACTTTAAACATTCTCGTTACGTCCATAGTATTCACGACAGGTCAATGAAGTTATTGCTGTATGTTCCTTGCATATCGGTGATCTACAGGTTGAAAAATTTCTCTGAGTGAACCTGTTTTTTCTCAATGGACAGAATTCACATCTCACTTTGGCTTGAGTGGCTTGGTCTCTATTTGGGGTTGGTCTTTCTCCAGTTATGTTTCTAATCTTTTGACTAAGTAGATATGGCAGACTTGGAATCTGAGAACGTCTATACAGGTGAGGCACGGCAAGCAATTTACTAAGTTCCGATATAAATTGTCTTCTGGTAATAATATTGTTTGTATTCTCTCGATAGATTATTTGGCTGTTGATGGTTGATATATTCAGAAGCCCGCAGAATACGGTATATGGCCATCTATTGCTGAATCGTGCTGTTGAATATCCAGATTTCATTTTGACAACCACATCTACGCCTCCTTTCGTAAGATTATAGTCTGTAATAACTTCGGGCTTGAAAGCATCTCCAGTGTCATCGTTGATCTTACTATCATCATGCAGGGTTGATAATAACAGCACGTTTTTGTTTCGCTTTGCTACATATGAAATAAGAAGGCACTTATTGGGGTTTTCATCAGAGTCTTCACCATATGCAAACATGCTGCTTTTTACTGGTCTATTTTTCACATCTAGAAGTTCTCGAGGAATTCGAGGCTTATTTTTGCGAATTGTTCCTATTGTAGTTAGTCGATGGTTTACTAATAAGCTATTAGCCAATGGCACAGAGGTGAAATAATTGTCAGTGGTTACATTTATTCCTGTACCACTAATTGGCTCTATAAGTCTCAATACAACGCTCGCCGCGTAATTTTTTAGGTCCCTCTGGTTGTTTACCCGCCTAAATTCCAAGATTTGATGTAAAAAATGTTCTGGCATCTACTAAGCCATAGATGCCGCATTTGGCGGGCTTGTTGGCTATGTATTGTCAAAATCGGCATCTTCCCCGAAATGCCTCCAATATTTCGTCAATTGTTACGTAAAATCCCGGAGAATAAGCTTGTTTACAATTTGCACTCGCGTGCTAGACTGGAACTAACATTATGCGATTGCGGCACTAGAACAAAATAGCTCCTCCCCACGACCACAGATTCACATAGTAGATTAGTTTGAAGGAGTATTCCTAGATGGTGGGCCTGCTAAGCCGCGAAATTTCAAATTTATGAGAAAAATTTAAAAAATGTTAGATTTTTTCTAACGGTGCGAGCGATGGAGGGTTAAAGCGACTGCTATTTGATCTTGTTCACTTTCATGAATTAAGAGGCTTGTTCAATTGAAACTTATCTTTGGTCAGGTTACCGTAGGAAACAATCCCAATCACTTAAGTGACGTTTTGCAATGTTACTTGTTGTGTTTGTAAACGTGACACTGATCAGTACTTGTCATTTGACTGCGATATTTTATTGTGACCTAAAAATGGCGTTTGTTGTTAACAGTCCGTCTATACACTGCCACGCAAAATTAACCAAACAAAATGTTGTTCAAACTTTTTAACCTTTGCATCAATTTCGCTAAGATGTATGTAATTTCCTTGTCATCGACTGTCAATCTTGCAAAAAAATTGAAAATTTTTGTTGTTATACAGGGCGTAATTAAAAGGTGCATTTTGCCCTAAATTATATATGCTGTTTTAAAGAAAATCGTGTTAATCATAGCCATAAATGAGAAATTGTGATTGAAAGTAGGTTGTCTATTACTATTTTTATCTCATGTGAAAAAGATTCTTGTCAAGCAATACTCAACAAAAATGACACCGGAACAACTAGCGCAAGCTGTAGCTTCACTATTCGGTATATCGCAAAAAGGCTTGCTGTTTCACGCAGTACGGTATTCGATGCGATACAAAGACTTAGAGAAACTGGTTCTTACTCAAGAAGACCTTGCCAGGGAGGACAAAAAGCAAGAAACGCGGTTGAATATCCGTTTCTGAGACTTCTAGCTCTTCGAGAAGGAACAGTTCCTGCTACAGCTTTGACTCGAAGACTGGAGAGTACCTGCTACAGGTCCCCTATTGGATATAGGTCATCGAAGGCAGCGCTTGGTATTTTCTCAAACTCATACAGATTGGGATATGGACGACTGGAAAAACGTTCTCTTTACAGACGAGCCTTGTATTCACCTGATAGTCGCCAACGAGTATGAAGAAGGTGTGGAGAACGCTATGCCCAAAGTTATTTCGCTCCTAGAGTGCAATTTGGTAGTGGATGAGTGATGGTATGGGGCGGTATCTCTTTGGTATCCCGCTCAGATCTTGACTCGCTTCGAGGAGGAATACCTTACTGGCGATAGGTACATTAGAGAGTGTTTTGAAGAACATGTGGTTTCTCATGTGCCCTTTATAGGAGAAATATTTTTCCTAATGCAAGATAATGCTCTGCCGAATATAGGCAATACCTAAACCATTTTGGAATTCAAGTACTGGACTGGCCGCCAAGGAGTCCGGATCTCAACCCCATTGAGCACATGTGAGACACACTAGGAAGAAGGCAGAGGTAGAACAATGGAGAATTTCAAACTGTGGCTGCTTTGGAACAGGCGCTGATAAACGAGTGAGAGCAAATACCCCAAGACACAATAGCTGGTTTGGTTGAATCTATGCCAGAAAGGATGATAGCTGTTATTCAAGCTCGGGGAGAAAATACTCGATTTGGATAACAATTTCTAATTACCAATGATGTCACTGTAACTTTTTAAGTTAAACTGCTTATGGTTATGATTCGCATAGTTTTCTTACCAATGTTGTAACTGTAATTTTTTAAATTAAAGTGTTTATGGCTATGATTCGCATGATTTTCTTCAGAACAGCATATATTCTTCAATAATTGAGATATTGACAAGAATCAAAAAAGAACTGTTGAGAAAATTTGAGGCTTAAACTTCTCATACGAAGACGCATTATTCAGTAATCTAATGCTTCCACAGGGTACTCATAAATTTAGGACAAAATGTACCTTTTAGTTGCACCCTGTACAACAACCAGTATTTTCAACTATTTTGCAAGATCGGCAGGCGATAATGATGAAAATCAAATTACCTGCGATTTTTCGACAAAGCTAATGAAATTGATGCAAAGGTTAAAAGGTTATTTAATTTTAAAGAAATGTTGTTTGTCCGGTTAATTTTGCATGGCAGTGTATAATCAGCTCACGGTCATACAACTTTGCTGAAGGTTTGCAACCATTGCAAATTCATACGCGAATGCAAGCAGTGTTTAGAGACGCATATTTTGCTATCCAGCTGTCAAGGAAAGGTGTCGAAAATTTCAGAGTGTGAGATAGGAGACGAATGATAACCGACCACTTGCATTGAGTAGTACTGCATCAACAGACAGGAATGTGTCACGTGTGGACGGCATGCTTACAGAAAATCGTCGAATTTCAATCAGAGCAGTTTCAGAAAATGTTGGTGTGAGTATAGGATCTGTCCATAGTATCGTACACAAATTGGGTTACAGCAAAGTTTGTGTGCAATAAATTCCTCGCATTTTGTCAGAGGACCAAAAAAGCTTGCTTACCTTTGCAACATCTCACGGAATACAAGCAAAACGGTAACGACTTTCTATCGTCAATAATTGCTGGCGACGAACCTTGGTGTCATTATTTTGACTAATCCAGTAAGCTGTCATCGATGCAATGGAAACACGCAAATTAGGTCATGTTAACGTCTTTTTTGGACCATCAGGGACCCTTTCTCGTAGAGTTTAAAGAACCTAGAGTCCATATCAATGCAAACCTCTATACTGAAACTTTTAACAATTTGAACAATCTCCACCAAGCAATAAGATGCAAACGTCCAGGGAAGCGCTACAAAAAATGATATTAGGATATTAGGGAATCCGCCCTATAGTCCCGATCTATCGCCTTGCGATTTTTACATCTTTGGGCCATTGAAAAAGGCGTCTAAAGGTAAGCATTTTCAGTAGACGAAGAAGTACAAAATACCGTAAAAGAATTCTTTAAGCAGGAGTCACAAGAATGGGATATGGGCCTTAATCATAGTGGAACTTATTTGTAGATATATTTGCCAATACATTTTTTCTGGATCAAATATGGGTTTCAGTTGAACAAGCCTAGTGTGAAACAGAGGGTCGACATTCTACTTGCTACGTTTTTTTATCGGAGAGGTAAACTCAAATCGCACGCCCATGACAAGAAGCCTGTTATGCTGACTGTGCAGGAATGTGGAAGACTCATACGTTCATGAGAGGCTCTTCAGGATCGTGAATCAGATATAAAAAACGTATGTCTTAAAGCTTACACAAACTAACGTCCGCACATGTTGCCTGTTGCACATGTATGTGCGAGGGACACCGATGTATGTCTAGATCAAACCACTGCAAAACGACTACAAGTAAATTTAATAATAATAACAATAATAATCATAATAATAATAATAATAAAAATAATAATAATAATAGTAATAATAGTAGTAATAACAGTAATAATAGTAATGATAACATTAGTAATTACTAATAATAATAATAAATAACTATTTATACGAGCAGCCTGCTGTGTACGAAGGTGAACAAACCGGGCTCCACTGGAATCGAAAAATTATAGCTGATAGACCGATAAGTAAGAATATTCCCGATATCGTGCTTACTCTAAAAAAATGAAAACAAAACAGATTTCGCTATGCCATTGGGAGCCAACCTAAAAAGACACATGGAGAAAAAATCAATAAATACCTACCTTTGAGTGATTTGAGACCAGGAAATAGTGGTCACCATCCCCATTGTGATCGGAGCAACTGGAGAAATACCTAAAAAATTAAGAACATCACTGCAACAAGTAGGATTACCGTTTGAATTATACTTACCCATGCAATAGTCGGTCGTGTTGGACACATGCAGTGTAATCCGAAGAGTTTAAGGCGGCAACTCGAACAAGATGTTTCTAACATCAGCATCGAAGCCATCTTGTTTCAAAACCGATGTGCCAGCGCTCTTAACCCAGGGAAGCCTGTGAGTGAGGTAGATAAATAATAATAATAATAACGACCTCAAGCTGTTTGCAGGAAAGAAGGAGCATCTCAACAACCTCCTTGACTGTGTAAGAAACTTTAGCAAGGATATACAAATGAAACTGGGACCGGAAAAATGCAAAATTAACTGCATGATGAAAGGTAAATGGAAGGAGCATGAAGGCTATGAATTGCAAGAGATATAGGGTACATTACCCGGTATCGAAGCACATGATAGGATAAGTACTTGGAATATCTACAAGCACCAGGTATAGACCATAAAATAGTGAAACAGCAGGTTATCAATACTTACCTTGGAAGGCTTGGAGCAATACCTAAAACAGAGCTCTCGGCAAAAAACACAGCAGCCGCTGCCAATGCATATGTCGCTTCGGTCTTCACATATACGTTTGGTATAATACAATGGACTGAAACCGAATTAAAAGACATTGATATCAAGACTAGATCTGCCTTCAGGAAGCAGCGCGCATATCACCCCCATAGCGCTATTGAAAGGTTCCACCTGTCTAGAAGCGAAGGGGGCAGAGGAATACCAAGTATCTAGGCCAGGCACCATCAGCAGGTACAAAATCTAAGAAATTACTTCCTAGAAAAGTCAACAACATCTGACTTACATAAAG